ATTTGGGAAAAATGAAAACTGCCGGAATAAAAATTTGTACACACATGGGGATAAAGAAACAAACTTGAAACTACAAAAATGAGCAAGATTTACTTAACATACAAAGGGGCAGATTGATAAAGTGACATTAGCAATGATCTTAAGGCCAACGGAAACATTCTGTTTTTGGAGTTTTATTACCAAGAGCACCTCCGGCCACGTTTTGGAGCATCTGTACTTATTTCCCTACCTTTTTCCTAGTTAAATTTAACGCATCGATGCATTGTTTTTGCTGCCAAACAGCCGTTCTCTTGGCCAAGTTTTGCATTATATGTACAAACGCAAAGAGACGGTTTGTCTCGCGCAAAGGATGAAAAGCGTAACATTTAAACCATAAAGTGAGAGAGTGGAAATTTGCTTGTTCTATGATTGGTAAAAGCAAACAGTGTCTAGGAGCATGATTTTACAACACAAACCGCTTGGATTTTACAACACAAATCGCTTGGATTTTACAACACAAATCGCTTGGGCACAATGGAATCGGTAGTGAAAAGAGAGAACGACAGATTGCCCTCATCGAGCATGGAGGCGCCCCCAGAAACGGCAAACTACCTGTGGAAGCTTCAACGCCAGGACCAATTCAGCGATTCACTTCCAACCGGATATAAAAGATGCTGAAAAGAAAGTTAGCAGTGGACTAACGTAGGAACATCAGTAAGTAGAAATACAAAGCAAATAAATAGTTGCGGTTTTTGTTTGATGTCAGGAATGTTCCCGAAACAGTGCAAGCAAGAAAGAACAGACGGCAAAAATGACATATTGCCGAAGAATTTTTCGAACAATATCGTTCAAGATGATGCGAATATCGCTGCCGCTTACATGGAAGGTTGCATTCGCCTCTTCTGATGCTTTATATTGCAACGGTTGAAATTACCTGTCGTAATTTCGCAATGATTTTCTTGCCCGAGGAATAATGTTCAAGGCGAAATTCGTGTCGAATAGCTCGCTCAGCTAAAAGTGTAGCCCACTTAGGATCACCTTGACGTCTACCCTCATACACTTCAATTGCTACATCAATCATTGTCTGTACCACGTAGTTACCGTACAAATCGAACATCATGATATCAAGCGCATCGCGTCCCTTCCTGAAATCAGACATAGGTACGCCAAAATACGTCACGTTATGAATTGAAGATTTTCCGATCAACGTCAAAGCGGTTCTAAAGCGCTCTCAAAGCCACTTAATCAACTAAAGTTCACTGCAGCGTCTGCACTAAGACTCATTTTTTCAGCCATTTTCATAAGAAAGCTAACAACGTTAACTCGAGTTAGCAGGTGTTCGAAATGCAGTAGATTAATAAGCTTGATGAATGTGGTCCGAATTTCAGATCAGAGACTTTGCGTTAAGGAACTGTGTATGTGTGTCTATGTTTGTTTATGTATGTGTTTATAAAGTGAGTATGCCAGTGTATTTTGTATTCATAATTTAACTCTAGTTCCTACGAAAATGGGGAGCTAAAATTCCGGAAACACATTGACTGACCTTATGCGAGACCACAAGCCTAGCATTAATTCAAATCCCTTCTTTTGCTACCACCTACGAAAGCTCAGGTGTGAACCAATTTTCATTTATTTTTTGTGACTCGGGGCAACTACGCTTCAGCAACCACTGCGATTCGATCTACGACCTTAGTGACCTATGCTTATTTTATGCCTCGGAAATCATGGAAGTCATGTGGTGGAAATTTTGTTTTGGATCATGAATGTGCACTTAACCCACAACCTTAGGTCCAAGTCTGAATCAATTTTGTAACCCGATAATCAGAAAAGCTATAGGCAGAAAATTTTAAAAGGCATTTGCCACACCAAATGTTGTAAATTCAGTTTCCAGGGTCAAGTGCGTAATGGAACTGTTTTGGACTTAC